CAACATATATTTAACTACGCTGTTGATCTTTTCTTGTAATACACTTGAGTATCACTCCCATAGGGATGTAGTTTGCTCCTTTCTCTGAGGATCAGACTCTTGCATTTATTTTGGGGCAATGCCAAGTCATTACAGCACCATTAGCAGAGCCTCCGTCTCTTCAGTCCCCTGAAGCTCTCATTCTAAGAGCGAGAGATGTGTGACCATATGCTTAAAATCTGCCTAAAGTGATCGCAGACACTGACACTTGCATTATGTCGCAAGTGGGCCATTAGGTACACAAGAGAGCCAAGACCAGATAGATGCTATAATTTAATTTACCATGAAGACACACACACACAGTCACACTGTCACAAATAAAAGAGAGAAAGCACAAAGACGTATCAATCAACACAGACAAGCACATTTCCATTATATCACCAGCCTCATTCGCTCTTTCTTCATCATTAGGTTGCTGAACAGCTTTTAACATTAAGCATGTTACTGTCTTACAACAGGCATCAATAAACAACGAAACCTTTTGTCACATGATTGCAGCATGTGCCCGCTCTAATTTCATCCCTTCGTGACACTTAAAACAACAGGAATGACATTCAACACAAGGCAAGAATTAGAGTCAGCTGAAAGCATGGAAACACATACTGTACACTGACACGTTATCATCTCTCTTCCTTGGAAATTACACCTCTGTGTAAAGCTCAGATTGTTTCACACTTTAAAGCCCTCGCCTGCATAGTGAGATGTTTCTCTTTTTAGCATGCATACTCATTTGGCATTTAGCCGTTTGTTTTTAGACGTGAGGAAATAGCTGCTTTTCTGATTTCAAATTTAACATCAAATGTTACTGAAAGAGAGCTTTTTAAAACAAAAACAAACAAATAATCATAATGCTATATTTTTGGCTGTTTAAAGGGTAAGTTGGCAAATTTTCAACCAGCTTTGTATTTTTGCTATGTCAGTAGTATATGTAAATGAACAATGTGTACTCTTTCTCCATGTTACATGCATCCAGATATCCTCATTTATTTGTCACCAAAAGTCTGCCAGATGACACAAAACACATAAACCAACAAACTTTTGACAGCTCCAGAGCTCTAGATAAAAATAAAGATCAAATTTCCACATTTTTGTATTCCCACCCACAGACAACTGGATCAGCAGATGGGTGGCACAAAAAAGTGCAAAGGTGCATTATGGGTGTTGAAGTTTTTAGCAAAGGTGAATGAATGCTACAGCCCATTTTCTTCACTAGAATATGGGAATAACTTTTATTGCACCTTCTGATCACACTGCAAAAATGTGATACTCTTCTTCAGTATTTTTCTTGTTTTCCAGTGCAAATGCTTGAAGATTCTTAAATCAGGACCCATTTATATAAGCAAATTAAATAAGATAAAGAGTCTTGTTTTCTGTGAAATTGATAAAAGGAAGTTATGATTAAACCAAGAACAAATTCCATACCCCATTGACAGATATTTGTTCTTCTTTTAAGCATAAACTCACTTAATTTTGATACATTTTTCAGAAAACAAGACTTACTATCTTCATTTTGCAACTCAAGTAAATGTATCTTGATTTAAGGATGTTTAGATATTTGTATTGGAAAACAAGACAAAAATACTGAGGAAGATATTACTTTCTTTTAGCAATGCATGCAACATTTAATATCATGAATTTTTAAGGCCTTAATTTATGGAAGGTCTAATTAAGACTTTTTAAGACCCACAGAAACCCTGTAATATCTACATAAGTACATACTGTGCTCCACCTGACAATGGCTGTCAAAAAACACTCTTATTTTCCCTAAAATGACTTTAAAACTCAAACACTAAAGCTTTAAACCAGCAAACTCTGGATTACAAAGATAACTGGATTACAGCAAGGCTTTTACTTCTTTACAGTTAGTCACTGAGCTCTGCATGATTTGAGTAAATGCTAAGCCACACAGTCATGTCTGGACAGCCTGCTGTGGCATTAAAAAAGGGGCAAATGAAAAAAACAACAATTGTTCCAGTAGTGCGCACCTGTGACAACTATGGTCGACGGGCTTATCATCTCCTGTCACTGACTCATCTTATTTGCATCATAGAGAAGGCTTTTTTTAATCACATCATTGCACTTTGAAGTCTGTAATCAATGACATGCAAACCCAAACACCTCCTGTAGGGATTATGTGGTAGATCTCTCCTCCCTCTCCTGACAAAATCATCAACGATTGTTTATGTCTCTTCATCATTAGGAACCATCCTGACAGGGCATTAATTACAAAGAGAGCTCACAGCAAAACATAAACCTCATCATCAATAAAAGACACCTACTCACAGATTGGAATTTGGAATGCTAAAACATGTTTTTCTTAACCCTGAATTATAAAGCCCTGCCTCTGATATATTACTTTTTCCTGAGTTTGAAAACATAGTGGAACGTTCACTGTCTCTGTCCATGGTCCTGAAAGCAAGTCAGTTCAATGAATTATGTAGTGCATAACACCGGGAAGTGTATTTTGAAATTTTCCATGCGTTTACAAACAGAATACATCAATTTTTACTTTTGTGTCATTACCAGGTCAATGAGTACAATCTCGTGCACAAGCCTGTAAGCAGATCTTGCACATGCAAATCACTATGTTAGTGAGTCAGTGAGAAAGATCAGAGATGATTAAAAAATAAATCTTAAAAAAAAAAATTAAACATGCTTCAAATTCTTAGAAATGTAATATTTGTATTGAAAAAATATATTATAAAAATATAATAAAAAGATATTATTATTATTATTACAATTATCTACAAAAATTCAATTTAATGACTAAAAACTAGTCTAGTGGTGTTGAAGGCATGTGAGTATGCAAAAAAAAAAAAACGTTTTAATGACTGGCAGAAATCGGATCTTTAAATTATCGATAATATTTTTAAACAATCAAAAACTGCTTTGTTTTTCTTTTTCACTTACTTTTATGCAATACTCAAGAGTTATATATTTCTGACTTTAAGCCCCACAAAAATATCAAACTGTATTCAAAGAGTCATTATTTGTATGAATTACATTTTGAATATGTATTTCTGACTAACTTATAGATCTGTCATTTTTTTATAAATGCATTTTATGAATTATGAATTTTATGAACTTGCAATTCATACAAAAGAAAAAGACTTGAATACACCTGTTGTATGATAAACATTCAATATTTTTATTCATTAATAGTATTTTTTGTGAGTCTTAAGGTCCTTCAACACTATAACAAAAACTCTTGAACTCAAATTAAGGTAGAGATTTTGAGGGGACTGTAACAAATTTAACCTCTAAGTTTGATTTCGAGTAAACAATTTTGAGTTTCAGATCAGCAGAAATGAACACAGGAGTTGCATATGCTTATGTAAATACGTGTTGACAACACATTTGCATGTGCTGTCAAGACCGAGCGTGTGTTTTTAGGGGGGCAGGGCGTGTTTTACCGTTTTGACAAAAGGATATGGCCATTCTATGATCTTTTTAGCATACTTCCTAACGATGTTGTCCTCTCCAAAGATGAAGAGCGATCTGTTGACGGTGAAGCAGTTCTGTCGGACCGGGATGGGGTTGTAGAGGGCCATGGTTCGGGCTCGTTGCGCTTTGGTCTGTTTGAAGGCTGGTGAAACTCCACCTGTGGATACCGCCGGTGCATCCCGGTTCCGACTGCGCTCCGAACCCCCATCCCCGGCTCCCGGCAGACCGGGAACATCGTCTCCGAAGCGAGCCATTCTGTGTGGAGCAAAAACAGAGAAATCTAAGCCCCTTTGTAAACAGGTGCAAAAAAATTACGTTTACTATCATCCAAACTGCAAGAGTTTCCCTGCTATGACAAACGACGAGTTATTAAACGACCGTTAAATCCTCCAATCACGCGCAACACGTAGCTTACTCCAACAGACATCCCTACAAACGCCAAAACACCAAAAGTAACATTACCTGAAAGAAAAATGGGGAATAAAACCGTTTATAATCCGATTTAAAAACAACAAAAACTAATAAAAATGACAAAAACAACAAAATTACTAAAACTTTAACAAAAATTAAACATGAGAGCTCAAAATATAAAAATAAAATCTAATTCGAAATAATAACGAAACTAAAATAACATCTCAATGTTACTAAAATAATACTTATATAAATAAAATCACACATATATAGCTTAAATTTATTTTTATTGTTTTATTACATTTTTCCTTTTGACTTAAGCTCCGTAAGTTGCCAAGAGACTTCTTTCACAGCAATTGAGAGGAAAAGCAAAGAAAATGTGAATTTTGCCTCTCCCCGTGTCTTTAAAAACTCAGAGGATATTTTGAGGAGATTCCCCCTTCTATGTAAAGCCCTTTGAGTGCCCAGAAAAGCGCTATATAAAAAAAAAAAAACGTTTTAATGACTGGCAGAAATCGTATCTTTAAATTATCGATAATATTTTTAAACAATCAAAAACTGCTTTGTTTTTCTTTTTCACTTACTTTTATGCAATACTCAAGAGTTATATATTTCTGACTTTAAGCCCCACAAAAATATCAAACTGTATTCAAAGAGTCATTATTTGTATGAATTACATTTTGAATATGTATTTCTGACTAACTTATAGATCTGTCATTTTTTTATAAATGCATTTTATGAATTATGAATTTTATGAACTTGCAATTCATACAAAAGAAAAAGACTTGAATACACCTGTTGTATGATAAACATTCAATATTTTTATTCATTAATAGTATTTTTTGTGAGTCTTAAGGTCCTTCAACACTATAACAAAAACTCTTGAACTCAAATTAAGGTAGAGATTTTGAGGGGACTGTAACAAATTTAACCTCTAAGTTTGATTTCGAGTAAACAATTTTGAGTTTCAGATCAGCAGAAATGAACACAGGAGTTGCATATGCTTATGTAAATACGTGTTGACAACACATTTGCATGTGCTGTCAAGACCGAGCGTGTGTTTTTAGGGGGGCAGGGCGTGTTTTACCGTTTTGACAAAAGGATATGGCCATTCTATGATCTTTTTAGCATACTTCCTAACGATGTTGTCCTCTCCAAAGATGAAGAGCGATCTGTTGACGGTGAAGCAGTTCTGTCGGACCGGGATGGGGTTGTAGAGGGCCATGGTTCGGGCTCGTTGCGCTTTGGTCTGTTTGAAGGCTGGTGAAACTCCACCTGTGGATACCGCCGGTGCATCCCGGTTCCGACTGCGCTCCGAACCCCCATCCCCGGCTCCCGGCAGACCGGGAACATCGTCTCCGAAGCGAGCCATTCTGTGTGGAGCAAAAACAGAGAAATCTAAGCCCCTTTGTAAACAGGTGCAAAAAAATTACGTTTACTATCATCCAAACTGCAAGAGTTTCCCTGCTATGACAAACGACGAGTTATTAAACGACCGTTAAATCCTCCAATCACGCGCAACACGTAGCTTACTCCAACAGACATCCCTACAAACGCCAAAACACCAAAAGTAACATTACCTGATAGAAAAATGGGGAATAAAACCGTTTATAATCCGAATATCCAGTCGTACATCCCATGAAGATGTTCTTTTTAGCAGGAAGAGAGCAAACTCTTTTCTGAGGAACCGTAGAAATCAGCTCCCATTTTCTGTACACCGTGGTAAAACTAAAAAGCCATCGTTTTTGAATCTCCCCGGGTCTGTTTTGAACTCCTTCGTCACTCTTCCATCTCACTTACTTAATTTAAATGTTTTTGTGTCTTTTTTAGTCTTTCCACGCGTCAGCGACCGTGTTCAACAAGCTCCATCTTCACTGTGTGCGCTGTGCGGCGCGGATGTGGTTTGTTTAATGTTGGCACGCGCGCCTGGCCACCCCTCACCACAGCGCGAATGTGTCTGAGCGCGAACTGCCTCTCCAACCGACACTCAGTGCGCAAATTCATCTGAAAGCGAGACAAAAAACCTTTATAGACATGCAAATATGATTTGAATAGGTTCCTTTGGTTTTCAATCAACGAGCGATTAAAAAAGGGAGTTGAAAGCATTTTCCTCTCATTTTTACATACACTTTTCATCAAAAGTTTAAACTGTTCACTACGTAAAATATCTTAAAAACGCCTTCTCGTTGAGGACTTTCTTTCATGTAGTTCCTTCTCAGAAAGCACGTGAAAAGTTAGCTTGAGAATTTATTTTCTTAACAAAGGCCTACGTGAACTAGGCTATTCTAGTGCAAAATAGAAAGAAAGAAAGAAAAACATAATAAAAAAGCTCGGTCTCTGAAACAAGTTACTTTCCCGCTGACGTCACCACGCCCTTTTATTTTTCAACCTCTCTCCTTCAATAAAATATAAATAAAAGTCCCGTCCTGAATGTTTCAGTGTGAAGTTTATTTACACGTCAAATAAAGAAAAACCCAGAATGTTTGAGGAATATCCATTTCAAGCATTGTAACATCTTTTTCACTTATAACATACACCTGTACCAAGTGTAAGCGTCTCTATTCTGGGAGCATCTGAGCTTGTTCAGTTGACTTTGAGCTCAGAGATAATTGGTGTTTAAAAGTCACTCTTCCGGTGCCTGTGCAAGATCTACTCACAGGCTTGTTGCTAGCGAATGTACTTGTTGGCCTGATAACGACACAAATTGTCACAAATAAACAAGACATGACATGATCAGTGGAACAATGCTGTCAGAGTTCAGAGATATTTGTGCAGGAGTAATGCAGTGTGCATTTGTCTTTAAAGCACCCAGAACTAAGCCTTGTACGCTCCTGAAACATGGCACATCATTATTTGAATTCAATGTATATTCCAAGTTTCTGTCCTTTGTTGTCATACAAGTGTTTCTGTAAATTACCCATAGAAGAGAGTTTAACATTTAACATCTCTTTTTTCCCATATTGGGCCATCAAAATAATACTTTGTAAAAGATACAACAGAATTTTACATTTCGTTAAAGAGGCAATAAAAACACCAATAAATGTTATTACCACTTCCTTCCCAGTTGGGCCATTAAAAAAAAAGAAGACGAAGAAGAAAGAAAGAACTAATTCTAATTTTAAGAATTACAGCACCTCTACCTCACCACAGAAAAATAGAGAACTGCACAGAGAATCGAAGAAACCAAGTAATAACCTAAACTTATAGCAAATAACCGCACACAACAAATGTAAGGCGAGACAGTGAGGCATTCCATGATGTCACTTAATCTGGTTTAAGGGCACGAAAGGACCTGCTAATAATAGTCAACTGTAAAAAGAGGGAAAAAATGGATGCAGCTAATAAAAATGATGATGGAAATTGCAATAGTCCAATGACCCAGTAGATCATTCTAGAATCCAGATTGAGGTTATTACTGCAAAACAGCACAAAAAGATGAATGAAAAGACATTTCTCCTCTCTCTCCCTCAAAAGTGAATAGAAACAAATGATTTAGGAAGCACAGATGATGAGCAGAGGGGGGAAATGTAAAATACAGTTTGATGACTCTGATGATCTTCAATAGCCTTTAGGGTGTGCCTGTGTGGAACACTGTGATTTTTTTTTTGCCCCAATTACAGATACAGTACATCTGGGAAGTGTACACTTATATCAGTTGAGATGACTAGGTGAAGTAGTATACTTAAGTAGATGCACTATATTGAGGTCTACTATAAATAAAACAGCAAACACGCACACACTGAGCTGCCAGTGTCCATCCTCAATGGCCAATTACTCACAGAATGCGAAAGTACAGTTGTGCTCCATGCAGGCGATGGAAAAAAAAGAGTGTATGTGTGTGTGTGCAAGGGTGACAGAATGAGAGAAAGTGTGTCAGAGAGAGAGAAAGACAATGGTAGAAAGAAAGAAGCAGGGAGGAAGCACTGTAGCATATGCATTCATCAGATGTCAACACGTTTTCATTATATTCTGTTGAATAAGCCTTATGGAAAGCATGGGAGTGGTCAGAGCCTGACTGTGCTGACAGAGGAACTGTTGCTCTGTTCCAAAACCTAGTCATAGTCACCATAGCTGCGTTCTCGGCTTTTCCATAGGCTTCTTAATTACATTGCCTCTTAAGATAAATATCTTAATATGATAAGCATCAAATGCATTGTTCACAGAGAGTGCAGTCCCAGAATGCATTGCACAGAGCTCAGTTAAAATAAATAAATAAATAAATCTATAAGGAGATTCCCCCTTCTATGTAAAGCCCTTTGAGTGCCCAGAAAAGCGCTATATAAATGTAAGGAATTATTATTATAATTTTCATCATACTGTGCTTGTTTGTTTACTCATTCAATATTCACTACATAGTGAAGCCTTATATATGAGTAAAATTAGTTCAGACGTAGCTGTAGACATTATAAACAACTAAACAGATTTGAGTCAGATATGACAAAAAAACTGCCTGTTTGTTGCTGTTTTCCAAAGACAGGGTGATACAAGAAAAACGACTGATTCCCACAGCCTTTCGTAAGCCATTTCATTTCATAAACTTGATCAGAAAATAAATCATTTATAATATGTAATGTCTAGACTAGTAATTGTCTCTCTGTGTTTGTCTTTCTCTCTCCCTCCTCCTACTTCTGTCCAATGGGTCTGTGTTTGATCACAGAAAACACAATTCATTTGACAGTTCTAGTAGTACCTCAATCCAAGGTAAATCAGCAGACCCTGGTCTCTCTGTTTAAGTTTTGTATTTTTTCCCCCAACTAATTAAAAGCTTACCAAGAGGCATGAACCTACGAGACATCTCCGCTCCCACATAATGTAGTGTCCTTGTCATCCTAATAGTGGTCTCCATGGTGACTGTACACCGTTGAATTTTTAATTTGTTCCTCCCGTTGTTGGCTGCACAATGTTCACTCAACAAAAAGACACCTTTCACAGCTGTGATCTTATATGTACACCCACTGTCACATTCAGAGACATGCTGTATATATGCTACAGACAATCCAAACGTCCAACCTGCAGGATTTACATGCTCATTTACAATGCAACTTTCAACTGAAATATACCACCAATGACAATATATCTAGATTGCGAATCATCCTTCCAGACCAAACACAAATTCTTACAGGGATAGTTTACTGGTTATATCTTACAAGTATACAACACAACTTCAGTCTGCATGTTGGTGATTATTATGGCAAAAAAATCCATTATTAGTCCATAATCCATATTAACGCTTCCTCCGGTGAAAAAAGTCCATTCACTCACATCAAAATCCACTGACATAATTTTCACTGGAGAATGAAGCAATATTATGGATAGAGGAAGTGTATTTTAGCCTGAAGCGATGGTTTGAAGTTAAAAACATCTTAAAAACATCTTCCTGATGAATTTGTTTCTTACAAACACACAGCTTTTCACTTCACAAGATGTTAATTGATTGACTGGAATCGTGTGGATTATTGTGATGTGTTTATCAGCTGTTTGGACTCTCATTCTGACGGCACCCATTCACTGCAAAGGACCTATAGTGAAGTAACACAAAATTTCTTTAAATCTGTTCCGATGAAGAAACTCATCTACATCTTGGATTTGGGGTGTATTCCTTTAAAAAGGGCAGAGTTTTCATTTCTTTTATAGTACAAATGGACAACGTGGATAGTTAATCCATTATATATTTGTCTTCAACGACAAAATGCCTTCTGTTTTTAGTATTCAACTTAATTGCAATTTGAAATGAGAGGCTGCAAAATAAGAAACACACCTTGACTGCCACTAACCAGAAGTTTTCTTATCATTTTTATTGCAACACCACATGTGTTTTATGGACTTAATTATCTTTCGTCTTTTTTATCAACAATAAATTTCACAAATTCGCTCTTTAAAGCCCCCTTGTTTCTTTCGGACGTCTTAAAATAAACTTGATCAGGTATCTGTAACACGTCTTCCAAAATGTCATTTAAATTGGAGAAATACAGTTTCAGAAGGAAAAAACACACCCTGTCCTGGACAATCTAGTGACAGTGACACATTTTCTCACATCTTGTTTCATGCATAATGAGCCTGGGTAGTATTTGAAATGATCGCCTTAGAAATGACACCACAAAAGCACCAGCAACACAAAGCCCAGACGAGAGCACTTGATCACAGCTCACATAGACTAAATAAAGCCCATCTATGGGATCAGTGCAGTATCTCAACCAAGCCCTAATTCAAGCGATTTGGCTTGTGTTTTCTGTGCTCTGTTACCTAGCAACAGCCTCATCTTCTCCTCATCTCAACTGACTGGGCTGAAACCATAACTCAAGCTTATATAAATTGCATATTCAGAAAATAATCTCAGTTTTATTTTAGTGTACGACAACTGATTGTCAGTTGG